TTATTGAGAAAATATGATGTTTTATGGAATTTCCATTTTTAGTTCGACTGTGTTTTATGAAAACAAATGATTTGCTTATCAAAGGGCAAGTTATGTAGTGGTAGTGGGTTTTCTTTTTTTCGTAAGAGATTTTGAGATTGAAATATATGCAATTCTCTCATCTCTCTACAGGCGATCCATATATTATTTGGACAGGATTGTTCACTCTCATCAACGCAGTGTTGGTTCTGGGATGAGAGATGTTATTATGTGTTTTACTTATTTGCACAAGACTGTTCTCTCTCTCCTGTCAAATGGAGTTTGCTTAATTATGGATGAATGCTAGTACTGGTTGAATTTTTCTTTTTTTATTGTCACCTTAATAAAACGAATTGCCCATTCCATTTAGAAGAACACTAGCAGGATTATGTGCGTTGTACGTAAAAATGAAATAAGCGATCACATAAATATGCAATAGATAAATTTAATTTTCAAGATTTTGAAATGAGTATTGATCTACATTATTTTTGGATCTTTAAATTTTATTATTAGGGGTAAAAATATATTTTTTGGCCACCATAAGCATTTCGGACACCTAAACATCCTTTTGAGGTGGATTTTTTAGGTGCACATTACTTCTACAGTATAAGGTTGACACCTTATATAAACCACTCTCAAATGAAAATATCAACCTTTCTCAATGGGAAAAAATACAGAACTGAAAGACTCATGGCTCTAAACAATCAAATTAGAGCCTACATCAAAATTTTCACTAGAAGAGGTTGACTTGATGACCAAATATCCTCAAGTTGATCATCTTGACATCATGATGCATGGACATGAGAAAAAAATGGATTTCAAGTTTTGGAAATAGTGTATTTCGTAATGCATTTTTGGACCGTCAATTTTCAAGATTTTCAAGTTTTCATAGACTTGTCGATCTGCACTATGTTTGAAGCTTTAAATTTTAAAAATAAAGATGAAAATATATTTTAAGGCTATCACAAAGATTTTCCGTATGAAAGCCACATTTCCCAACATTATTTGAATGTAGCTCTAATTTGATTGTTTAGAGCCTAGGCTCTATACAAACCGCACCCATATAGTTAATGTGCAACAATTATTAGAATATATAAAATCTCATGTCAATAACCATGAAAATATATATACTTTGAAATAAAGATATGAAGGCCATTCAAAATATGTGTTTATTCCCAAAAAAATCAATATGCACCATCGCAAAGGGAAAGTGCGTATTAATCGAACTATGATAGAACCATCGACAAAACAATTTATAATTTTGACCCTAGCATAGACTTCAAGCTACTCTAGATCATCTATCAATGGGATTTCCCTTAAAAATTGATTCATGTATGAAATTTAAAAGCCTTAAAAATTCATAACTAGGATATTTAAAATATTTTAAAATCTTTTGCTATCTAAAATTACATTTAGAAAGGAAAGCATGAAGCCATGGGACAAAAAATGTGTTGATAATAATTCTTAATAAATTTGAAAATGTGAAATTAAAAATCTATTAATTAGTCATAAATTATTTCTAAAGCATTAATTTTGCATTTTAAAAAAATCATTAATTACTGAAGTTAAAAAAATTGGCTTCCTTTTTCGTAGTTAGCATAATTAATTTCAAATAGTAAAAATTATAATATAAAATTAATCAAAAATATTTGCCATAGCTTGGGTTTCAAGTTGAATTGAATTACAATCACCTACTGGTTCAAAGGTCTTAAACAAGTCTTGATTGTTAGTCACATGAATGGTAGCGTTAGTATCGACCTACCATCCATTATCTTTATCGATCATGATTACTTCCGTGAGCATTGATACAAAATTTTCATCAGTGGTCATGTTCACTTGGTTGCTAGACCTTTAGGGCCTTTTCCAATGCCGACACTCTCTTGAATAGTATCCCGATATTTTACATACATAACAAGAGGTTTTCCTTTTATTTTTGTTGGCATTAAACTTTTGGTGCTTATAATTTTCATTATGAGACTTTAGAAAATAAAGGCTTCTTGTTATTGAGCACTTGATTTTTTCTCAACAAGGTGTGTTTTAGTATGAAAATTTGTTGTTTCATCTTTCTTTTCCTGAAGTCTATTCTCTTCTTCAATTCGAAGAAATCTTTGAAGTTGAATCAAATCAAAGTTTACTTTCTTATGTTTCATTTTATTTTGATACTCTTTCCAATATGAGGATAGCTTGTGAATAATAACGCCTATTAGAAAATATTCATCTAATGAAATTTCACAATCTTTAAGTTCAGTTATTACAAAGCATTGGCTTGTTTCCATTGAATTCAAAGTCTAGAAAATTAACAACAAGAAACATTTTCTTAGCAGATTCTTCAGTGAGGTAATTAGTTTCAAGAGGCTTCCACAATGCTCTCGCTGTGGCAACAAATGCATACATGTCATAGGTCGGATCCGCCAAAGCGTTGAAGATGTGACCTTTGCAAATATAGTCATCCTTCATCCATATTTTGTATACTTGAGTTTGTTAAGTAATCGAGTCATGAGATGGTGGTTGTGGTACAAGTTTAGATTCAATGACTATGTAAGCCACCTTGAGTATAGTAAGTAGAGAGATGACCTTTTGTTGCAATCTCTTAAAATCATGGTGCATGACTTTCAAGGAAATTACGACAATCTCGTTGTTTTTACTCATTAATATCGTCTTGAATTGATGAAAAATTGTTCGGTGAAACAGGGGCGAAAAGTAGTACAAATTTGAAAAAAAAACAAAGGCTTGATTTTTTTTTTGTTTTTTAGCACGCAAGAGCACTATCTCAAGGTGATATTTGTCTCCTTTCGATGCAGTATTTGGTTTGCATAAAAAGAGCAAGTTTTCTCAGAATACAAGAAACAGAGAGGTTTATTTTGATGCTTTATGCTCTATGCATCCGAGCTTAGAAACCTACAATAGACACCAAAGTCTAGAATGGTTTATAGAGAGCGTGAAAAACGAGTGGAAAGAGAGAGAGAGAGAGAGAGAGATGAGCTTGTTGGCTTTGCTGCTTAGAATTACAAAGAATGGTGTGTTATTGAGAGGTTCAAAAATGTATTCTAAGTGCCTAACTCGTATAGGATGGAGGGCTTTTATTATAAAGCACCAAGAGGCTGTTTACTCAGTGTAGTAGTGGTTAAATGCACAACCAACAACTATAAATTAAATATAGTTGTTCATTTAATATAGTGGGTGGTTATGTGCACCACTGCTACAAGTTAAATGCACTTGATAGTTGTTACTTGCCTCTATTTCATTTAACGGCTAATTACCAAACCATTGAAGGCACGATTACTGAGTTAGAAAAAGATAAAGACAAACAATACCACCGAACACATACACCTATGCTAAACTCCCTCTTCCATTTTCTCCACCGACCTACATTTTCTCCACCCTGACCTCATGCATTTAATTCAACGTCCCATATGATGCCAATTATTGCTATGTTTATATCCGTAGTATTCAACCAGTTCATATGAACCAATTATTGCTATGTTTGTATCTTTAGTTGTTGGGAAATGGAACACGCGCAGGAACCATAGCGCGAATGGAGCCTGGGATCGGCCCATGGATGAATCTGCCTAACTTGGGAGCACCTCTTAAAGCTTCAAAAATACAGATAAATAGATCTACGAAAACTTGAAAATCTTAAAAATTGACAGTCCAAAAATGCGTTACAAAATACCCTATTTTCATAACTTGAAATCCTTTTTTTTTTTTTTCATGTTTATACATCTTGATGTCAAGATGATCAATTTAAAAATATTTGAACATGAAAACAACTTCTTCTAGAAAAATTTTGAAGTAGGCTCAAATTTGATTGTTTAGAGCCTCGGCCCTATATAAACTTTTCCCTTATTTTATTTTGATTAGACAGCATCCCTATCAAAATAGTTTCCTTTAAAAATTTGAGAAATCTGTAATCCATTTTTTAGCATTATCTACACATGCACAATAAGAACTCTATAGGAAATCCCATAAACATTTGAAAAAAAAATGAGATTGAAGCATTACAATAAGAACTCTATAGGAAATCCCATAAAAAATTGAGGAAAAAAGTGAGATTGAAGCATTATGATAACTGAAATATGGAATCGTCTCCATGTGGCGGTCGTTGGCCAGAAATTTGGCAAAGGGTCTGGTTCTGCTCAAATACAGCGGAATATCTAGCCTAGTCCAGTTTTCTCAACATTTTAGGAAACTTCAAAAATCAATTACAATGGAACTTAAAAGTAAGGGAAAAGTATGCCACAGTAGAGTTGACTGTGGTATATGGTACTCCAAGGCTTCCTCACCTTTGTTTACCTCCGATGAGTGGTTCAAGACTAACTTGTGAGTGGCTCACAGGGACATTCACATTGGACATTGCATAAAAGGTAATTTCATCTACATAAATATCATATTTCTATTGATTTTCAATTTTATTTTCAATCTAATTTATTCATTATTCAATTTGTATATGAAATGAAATATCAGATTTCTAATTTCAATTGAATAGTTAATAGAATTTGATATTTCTGTCTCATTAAGAATTTGATATTCCATCTAATTTTCAATAGATTTTGAAATATGTTTAGATGTTGAATGTAGCCCGGAGCAATGTCCTTCGGTATGGTATACTCTTCCCGATAGTAAATTATAAATGAGATAATCACAAATGAAAGTAACAGATGGGAGGGAATGTGCAGGAGAGGCTAGGTACCATACTCGTTTTAATGGTGCATGATGCTGCGAATTTCAAAAATTCAAAAGAACAGTAGGTCAGAAGACTCAGAACTATTGAGAATACATGATGGCGATACTTTGTAGTTCCTGGTGAATGTCCATCACCTCAACCAATAAGTTCATCTCCACCATCCTCTCTTGAGAAAGGAAAGTGGATTGCTCCATCAGTATGGCACATCGTGTATTGGTCTGCTTTCCCAATAAGATATTCCCAAAACGTGCAACGATGACCACTGCAAATTATTGAAAGTGGTAGGAAACAGAAAAAATGGAAGAAAGAAAACAAAAAGATGTAATGTGATAGTGTCACGCATTATACATCCATGTTACAATGAGAGAATGAGTATGATAACCAATATAAAAGAAGTTCCTTACATCAGATACTGCAAACATGGATCCATATTATATCACCATTTCCCATGTCAAGAGCTCAACCTTACTAAGCAAACCGGGGACCTCAAACTACACCTGATCAACGAAATTCCCAACATGCAAAACATCGAGAGAACACGGCAAATGATGATTCAGAGACCTACCACCTAACCCGCATCCCATTGCAGAACAACCCAAAATGAAAATGTGGTTGCAGAGCAACCGGTGTGAAAGAAATCCTATCATGTCTAAGAGCAGTATAACTGACCTTAGAGGCCCTTCTACAGAAGAACTTCCCTGTTGAAAATCCAGCTGAAAGGAACTGTTGTGGCTTGCTTTGCCCGACTTTGGGCTCTCTCTTCCAGCCTCCGAAACCTTGGAGCCAAGCCACACACAAAATCTTGGGCCTTCTGCCCCTCCCCAGAAAGACCCGTTAGCTTCTCAACATTCCATCGATTAACCAGGAATTCTAGTATATCTGTATAATCCTTAGCTGTATAAACCCCCAACCTCTGAGCAACAGACGAGAAATGCTCAAAGAGGTTGTCATCTTGCCCATCATACATCAAATGAGCAGGCATGGATATCTTCTTCTTCATCATGTCAGCAAATGCCAAGACTGTGCCATCAGGGTCAATCTCAAAGAGCTTCTCCACGATCTTGGTGTAGGCAGTCTCATGGCGCCTTTCATCAGCAGCAATGATTCCACAGATCTGAGCTAGCTTCATGTCACCATAGTCCTTTGCGTGCCTTGCAGTGTTACCATGCGATACGAAGGTCGCCCTCTCCTGGAAAGATGTGTAAATAAAGCCAAGGTAGGGGCTGTTCTCTGTGCGTGGATCCTAGAAAATGCGAGAAGAATGAAAATCAAAGAGGCGAGAAGAATGGAATAAAGAGGACCAAGGTGAAAAGGAAGAATGAAAAATTAAAGGGAGAGAGGAAACATGAGATTCAACATAGAAGTCGTTTTACATCAAAAATCCAAGTAGATTCTTCTAGAAACAAGTATTACCAAATTATCCATGGGAAAGTACACCATAATCAAGATCCCTAGGGAATATTACGAGTCTCAAATCACAGAAAATTATGGTCGTCACCAACTGATGAAATGATGGATGCTGGTGGAAAGGGAATGACCTACTCTGATGGATCCCAGCCTCTCCAGCACCATCCATTGGTGCACTCGACAGTGATGATTGAAGACCCAATGGATAACAATTTCCATACTTGAGTGTTAGAATAATTTTCTCAATATCAAATATATTCAATTTTTTACCAAAACATAGTGAATCTCAGTCTCTTTTAGTTTTTGTCTGAAATGAAAATTTCTGAATAATTGTTACTTTCATTCCAAATAATTCTCAGCAAAATGGACAAATTAGCACCCGAAGCATAGACAAAGATAAATTTCAGAAGGAAAATGGTTATATAGGACGACAGGCCTATATTTTAACATAAGCCACTTTGGAAAGTAGAGGTCTAATGGACCTCTTTGGCACACATATAGATTTGCATTTAGGAGATCAAATTTTAAAAAAGAAGAAAAATGAATTTGCACAACAAGAATGGGGGAAAATCAATTCCTTCATTTTCGATGACCATAGGCTGTCTATTTCAAAAATGATAGATCAAGGCCTTCAAGATCTCAAAATATATTTTTTTTCATGGAATTGTTTATTTTTCAAACCAAAGGCGTGAAAAATTTCTGCCAAAAAAAATCCCTCAGGCCAGTAGTTCTAGAGGTCAACTTAAATTGTAGCTAAACCTGTTGTCTTTTATAGAAGTGACTCGCACTTCAAAAATATAGCACTTTCTTTTGTTAATAATACAAAATTATGTTTGTCTGGACTGATACACATACTGATTAAGGAGAGGTAACAAGATGTCCCTACCACTACGCTACATGGCCAAACCCCACTTAATGAAATTTTCTGATGACCATCAAAAAAGGTAAATGAAAGGAAGAAAACCAATGAAATCCAAAGACTGAAGCTTGGTTTGAAGAGCATCAATAGTATGACGACATAGAGAACAACCAAAATGATAATCAGCCAAAATTCTCAACAAAGCAAGTTTGACATAGCAATATACCCAACACAATTTAAAATTTCCCAAAGAAGAATTGACATAAATCATGGGACAACCATTCAACATTTCAAGCTTATTAGTTTGAAAATTCAACAAATGAATAAAATAAACAGATTCGAACCAAATTAAAGCATCTAACTTCTGTAGAAGTAATAAAGCAGGATCATTTGCTTAAAGTCTAGACAATAAGGCTTTTTATTTGCTTATATTTACAACCAGTTTTCTTGAAAGATAAAAGGAACCAACAAAAATGAATGAGAAAACAAAACAAACCAAAATAAATTCTATATAATAAGTATCTGCTCCATGTTTCAAGGACCATTTGAGAAACAAATACTAAAAATTGCAGTTTTGAGTTCTTCGTATCAACAGTGAGCTAATGAGATCCAAACCCATAGTTCAAGCAATCAACAAAACCAAAAGAAGGCAAAATAAAATCTTGATGTATGCAGTAATAACTTTGAAGCTCACCATTCCTGATCCAATAAGATACTGAATCGTCTTTTCGATCTGCCTCATATCCACTCTCCCACTCAAGTAGAGGTACTTGTTTAGAAGGTCACCATGCCTGTTTTCCTCAGCAGTCCAGGCCCTGGTCCAAACTGCCCAAGAAGTTGGACTTGCCCCAGTTTCATCACGAACACCATCAAGGGTATTGAGCATTGTCTGATAGGTGGGCAAAGCTTCCTCAGTGATCATATCTCCAACCAAACAAACAAAGTAATCATCTGGGATTTCCTCAGCCCGCTTCCTTAGTTCCCTCACTTCATCGAGAAAACCCTCGGAAGAAGGGTCAGGCAAGAAATCCTGAGGCTGCCATGACTTCTCTACAGCTTTCAGGTGGACCAAGATATGGTGCTCTGCCCAATCCTCCAAGGATTTAAAGATCTCAATTTTTTCTGGAGGCATCGAATGGGTCACTTGAACATGCACTTCTCGAGGGCTGAGGTGCTTCCTAAGACTGTCAATCTCCCTGCTCAAAAAAGAACCTCATATTATCATCAAACACAGGTCAAAAGACTGAACAAACGTTTTAGAAGAAAAAGTTCTTATTTGATCCATCAATATATTATCTATAAACTATAAACACTTCAATAAGAATGATGAACAAAATAAATACCAATATCCCCGAAAAAACCAGATCGTTATCCATCAAAAATCCAGATTGAATTCAATTTTTTTTCTTTTCAAACAAGAGAAATCACTTAAATAGTTTCTGCTCCTTATGTTCTTGAAATTAAGAATTATCTCATAAAAGACTATAAAACAAACACGAAAAACACCAACTTTTGCATATTCTCACATCCAATTACAAAAATGTGAATCAGAAATTCACAGTCAAAAAGTAAAATAAAATAAAACTCTACATAATCTATTATTAGGAAAAGTAAATCTCCCCAAGCTCTCATACAAAATCGAGGTTTGAATATAATCCATAAACCATCATTTTGAAGGGAAAAACTTTGAAGGAGAAAAGACAGAGAACAAAAAGAACAAGGTATGCTTTCTCAGTAGACTTTATTCAAACCCTCAATCCATATAACACCGCTTTTCGCAATAAAATAGATGAAAGCATGAAGTACCAAAAGCACACCAGGAGAAACAGTTCCTCAAAATCTTGCATGCAAAACCACCTAAAACAATTTGCATGCCTTAGCTTCTCAAAAGAGAAATACAAAGAAAAACAAACCCATACTTCCTCAAATTATGTCATCCAAATTTGGAAACATCATATGGCGACACTTAATTAAATCTTTACACAATATTGAGCATAGTCTAATTGAATGTTTACGTTATACTGAGCATAGTTCCAACACATATTGCCTATACACCATTACTTCTCAGAGGTGTAGAGAAAGAGAGATAGTGTGACTAGACATTCTCAAAGATTTTAACCGCAACTATCAAATGCATGACAGGCAAAATCTAGAAAGAAAAAATGATCCTCATCACAAACCCTTCCATAAAATCAACATCCGAACAAAATTGTACAACAATGAGATGAGGAACAATCTTAACAATGAGCAAATTAATCTCCAATCCCTCAATGGATCGACTCAAAATGCAATTAAAAACACCAAACCATTCTACACATTGATTCCAACTCAAAACCTCCCCAATAAGTAAATCAGAGCTCCAATAGAGCGAAGAAAGAAATGAGAGAACCCAATTAAATAGAAGAAAAGAATTGAGAGAACCCAATTAAAGCTCAGATAACCCATAAACCAAAATCTCAGAGGAACAATCAAAAAAATTGAGAGAGAGAGGGAAAAAAAAACCAAAAACTCCAATAGGGCTTTCCTTTTCCAGCTATCAAGAAACAACATGCAAAAGGTAAAAACAATTAGGAGAAGGAGAAGAAAGAAGACTTACTTGGATTTTGGTGGAAGAGTGGCGGTCATGAAGAAACGAGCAGATCCAGGCCTTGAGCGCTGAAGCCCTAGACTTGGGAAAGAGGATTGTGAAGGAAGCGAAAGCTTCAAAGCCATATCTCCCTAAATGCACAAATAATCACGGAATCTAGAAAGAGAGAAATATTTAGAGAGAGAAAGAGGGGAGAAAATCAAGAGAGAAGGAAATAGCAGGAATAAGGAGCAAAGCTCTGGAAAGAGATCAGGAAATGTAGAGGTAGAGAGAGAGAGAGAAGGGAAATATTTTAGAGAGAGAAAGGTAGGTGGGAGAGAGAGAAATAAGGCCTTATGCCTGCGACGCACACGAGAAGAGCTTCACACTCGGCAAAATGCATGAATGGGGGTGTTGAGCCATGTATAGGAAGTGGCCCTATTTCTCTCTCCACCACTCTCTCTCTCTCTCTCTCTCTCTCTCTCTGTCTCATCGTCCTCTCCACTTGTTCAAATGGAGGGAACGACGTCGTGACACGTGGCATAACCAGCTATGCCCTCACTCAAACACCGTGAGCGGGCGCCACTAGATTTCACGGCCCCCTCCCGCACCAGCCGGGAGAGATCCAGTTTTTCTCTCTCTATCCTTCATTTTTTTTTTTTCCCTCTAACCCTTTTATCTCTCCACCCGGTGGTCGCAACCTTAAACAATACGTATCTCCAAATTTTATCATAATATATAATTTTGACGTATAATTTTGACGTAAAAGAATCTTAAAATTATCCAAAAATCTATTTTTATATCTAATTATAAAATTTTAAACTTTAATAATCGTTAAAATCGAATATATCTATAAAGATATGAAAATCTTGAAAATATTCAAAATCTTTTTTATATATATATTCATATTCAATTAGAGGGTTTTTTAATATTAAAAAAAAAAAAAAACTTGATAGCTTTTTTAAGAGTATCTTTAATTCTACATTTTAAAGTTACAATCTTATATAAACTTTTTTATTTATTTATTTTTTACATGTGATAGAAAACTGAGTTTTTTAAGTCCTTGTAACTTTTCGTTTACATAATTCGCTCTAATTTACTTGTTTTTCTCTTTCTTTTGAAATAGTACTTATATTTACAAGTTTTTTTTTCTCTTGGGTTGCCTGCTTTCTTTTCTTTCTCTCTCTAAATAGGAATATTTGGGAAGAATAAACCTTCGTCGATAAAATTAAGGAGGTTAATTTGTTTAATGTGAGTTTATTGAAGTTTAAACAAAGAGGTAGGAAAGTGCAGTGGGTTTTGGTCCTTTTAGAACAATGCAAAACCGGTGGCAGTTTCTCAAAACCGGACAATATTACCCTCCTTGTTTTAATGTAAAATACATGAGCCTTTCCCTTTCATCATATTGAGTTGAACAACACAATCAAGGACTAACTCTCAGCAAAGAAAATGGTCATATATTATCTGATGGGATCATTTTTGTCGGGACTCGTTTGTAATTCATCTATATTGAAAATACAGCTATTATTTTAAATTTTTTTATCACATTGGCTTTCATTTAATAATATTATGTGAAATGTATTGCTAAATATCCTATTATTGTTAAAGTTTTGCTTTACAATAAAAAGCTATTAAAGCCCACTAATAGAAGGGAAAGGTTTTTATACTTCCCCTACACGATAGTAGATCTTTGATCAATTTTGATGAAGTGAGTCATTCTTCATTTGATCTTAGATGCGACATCTCATAATATTTTATTTTTAAATTTTTTATACAAATTTTATGAATATAAAATTTGATACTTGCCATTTTCTCATTGGGGCGCACAAACAAAAAATATTAAAAATTATTTTTTAATAAAATATAATGACGAAAATACTCTTTGAAAGTTTCAAAGGTATTTTGATCATTGTATTTTATTGAAAATATTATTTTAATATATTTTTACAAATGCATATTTACACCCAAAATTTGATGTGAAAATAATTTATATAAAAAATATTAAAAATAAAACAATGTAGAGACATGACATTGTAATTGGGGCATTCTTAGTCCTCTATTCATAATGGACGATTGGATAAAGGGAAGTATATAAGCTTTATATTGTAGGGGAAGCATAAAAGCCTTGGACGATTGGATAAGGGGAAGTATATAAGCTTTATATTGTAGGGAAAGCATAGAAAGCTTGTCCTTAATAAAAGTAAAACAAAATTTAAAAATTTCAGTTTTTGAAATGACCACAGTAGAAATATTGTTCTTTCTTTTTTAGAGGAAAATATAACAAGATATAAAAGTGTATATTGTATGTAACATATTGCATGTAACAAGATAGGAAAGTGTATATTAAACCATTGTATTATCATTATATATATAGAATGATAGAAACGCCACACGAATTAGTGTGTGGGACAAAATTATTTTCTAAAAAAAGTCTCTCTATCCCTCTCAATTTCGTTTTGATGATATTAGTGCTCTTTACATGACACTTAATCATGTTTTTCATTTACAAACAAAGCACATTGAGTTAAACCATAAGTGAAAATGTTGCTCTTGGATTACTTATCACTCATTCAAATGCCTCCCATCCAAGTTTAAGAGGGAGTAATAGAAACCAAATTAAATATTTCAGTTTTTGGAAAGGCAACAAAAGAAATATTGCTCTTTCCTTTTTATATGAGTATCAAACAAGATAGAAAAGTGTATATTGTAGGTAAATGTACATTACAGCTTTGCAATATATATACAATGAAAGAACCACCCCCAAAAAATGATGTGTAGGGTAAAATTATTTTCTCAAATAAAAATTCTCTCTAAAATTCTTTATCTATATGTGAAAATTATTTTTATTTTCATATTTAATTGTTAAAATAGTTGGGGCTTGTACATGAGTGGTTAGCACTAGCTGTTGACGTTCGATTCTTACTGTTGAACAATTAAAAAAAAAAAAGTAATGCAATACCAAACATTTTAAGCCATACTCTCTCCTTGAGCCAAAGAAGAAAATGCAATACCTAACATTTTAAGACATACTCTCGCTTTGAGCCATAATAACCGACGCTTCTCTCTTCACTGGTAAACCCTACTATTAAGCCATACTCTCTCCTGAGCCATAATAATCTCCTTGAGCCATAATAACCAACGTTTCTCTCTTCATTGGTAAACCCTACTCTAGTTGGAGAGATAATAACGGCCGCTTTTCTCTACACTCTTAAGCCCTACTCTCTCCTCCTTAAGCAATAATAACAGGTTTGCATAAGTTCACCCTCTTTCTCTAAACTTGTTCCCTCTCTCTTGAGTCCTAACAACTGGCTTTCTCTAAGCCCGCTCCCTCTCTTCACTGCTAAACCATACTCTCTTTCTTGAGAAATATTGGGCGTGTTTTTGCCTACCTATCCCTGATTAAAAAAATCTCTCGGTAAACCCTCTTTTTTCATAATAACTAATATAGGTGATCCTCTTTGATTAAAAAAAATCTCTCGGGTAAGCCCTCTTTCTTCATAATAACTAACATAGGTGATCCATCTCTGATTAAAAAAATCTCTCTAGTAAGCCATCTTTCTTCATAATAACTAGCATAGGTGATCTCTCACTGATTAAAAAAATCTCTCTAGTCAGCCCTCTTTCTTCATAATATAGGTGATCCTTTGATTAAAAAAATTTCTCTCGTAAACTCTTTCTTCATAATAACTAATATAGATGATCCCTTCCTTCTTCTCATCTGAAAACATCAGTTGTCATATAAAAACAAAAATAAAAAAAAAAATTAATCCTTACCTTCTTCTCATATAAAAGCATCAGTTGTCACATAAAAACAAAAATAATAAAAAAATTTAAGCTTGTCTCCTTATTTGAAGGCATCAACTGTCATATAAAAGAAACAAAAATAAAAAATAAAAATCAGTAATCAATGATAAATTACACAATACAATCATAATAAAAAATTTCACATAACATAATCCTCAGATTACTAAAATCTAAATTGAAATAACATACGTCTTTAGTCTCCTCCAATACCTCAAAATTTTATAGTTCAATTACCCTTCTAGTTTACTAATCAAATTTC